GGAATGTCACACCCGAGGGAAGCAGAGCCTGCTGCTCCTGGCAGCCTGCTGTGGTTTGAGATCTGCACCAGCTCCTGCGTCTCCGCTTGGTTTTTCAGAGCCTCGCACTGATTTTCTCTCCCCAGTACATTAACAAGTGCTGCGAGGTCGTCAGGCCTTGGTATTTGCCGCTAACCAAACAAATTGGCCAATTTAGCAATGAAGGAGGAGAAGGGACTTTCAGGCCCTCCTGTGAAAGCCACGTGGAAACAAGCAGCAGTGACTGGATTAAACAAAAAAAAGTGGTTTATTTTTGAGTGGATTTGCTGATATCTATAAACAATGGCAACGGCAGACACACAGATACACAGATAAATAAAGACAAGGTAAAATAAGGAGCTTGTTGAATATTTAGGGGGTTGTGCTCTGCAAATACCTAAAGAAGTGGCATATTAATGTATCTTACTTGTTTTCCAGTAAGTCATTAGTCGCTTAAGTGAAGTTGCTCATGCCATTTTTCCCTTTCATTAAATATTCATGTTTACTAATGGAAATTGTCTTGACAAATTGGTCAAACTGAGCAGTTTATGAATTTATGCCATAGACTAAAAAAAGTTGTTTTGAAACTCCGAGTGAGCTGAAGTAATTCTTGAAATCATTAACACTTCATTGATTTTATAATTAAAAAAAAAATCCCTAGAATAAATAGAGCATCTTTTAAATGTAGCATGGCTGTTTATCTCAGTGCTTAGGATTAATATAACATTTTTTCCCCTGAAAATATCCACGAGCTTCTAAAGATGCTTTTTATTGCCAAGCCTGAGGATTCACTCCTCCCCAGCAGCTCTGCCTGGGGCTGTTTCTGTCGCTGCCTTCAAGGGGCTCTTTGGTTTTGGGGTGTGGCCCACCCCAGTGCCAGGGAGCTGCAGATAATTTGGGTGCAGATAATTTGGGTGCAGATAATTTGGCCTCGGGTCCCTGGGGGTGACGGGCAGAGCCCACCGGGGACAGGGTGGGGTCCCCGAGGGGCGCGTGTGACCCCAGGGGCTCCATCACTGGGAGAGGGACAGGGAGGGAAGAGGGCAGGACACGCTGGGGGTGTGAGGGAAACGAAGGATCCTGCCCGAAAATGGCCCAAACTCACCCCTAGTGAGCCGAAAATCTGCCTGGGGCTTGGGGTTCTGTGGGAGCCCCTGGGTGTGGGGGTGGGAATATCCCAAAGAGAATAAATTCCCCGGGAATCCAGCTGCTGGAGCTCCGGTGGAACCAGCCCACCCGAGGCAGCAATAATTAGCACTAATTAATGGTCTCTATCTCCCCGAGCGTGTGCGGCCAAAGGCTCACGATAAAGCCAAACGGGGTAATTTTTCACGGAGACTACTTTGGCCCATTAACCAGTAGCCCATAACTAGTTTCACAGAGACTAATACTTCAATTCTCTGCCCGAGGCATGGCTCCGGGCTGTCTCACGGACAGGTAAGATCTTTTCGGCGGACAGCAGTGCTTTCCCTGTTTGTATTTTCAGCTTACACCGTTTGGTGCTAACTCAGACTGAGCAAACCCTTCAGAGCCCAGCCCTGTGGTGCCCTGGAGCCGGGGCACACGCGGCTGCACCCCGTGTGCCAGCGGGGACCCCGTCCCTGGAGCTCCCTGGGGATGGGGAGCAGGGCTCCTGCGGGGCTGAGGGGGGACAGCCCAGCTCTTGTCTGCAGCCTGCAATGCCAAATCAGGGCTTTTCCAGCCCTCCAGAACGAGCAGCGCTCCTTGGCCCTGCCCCGTGCCCGGCTCAGCCCGGCTGCGCGCTCACGGCAGCTGGAGAGGCACAGGCTGGGAGGGCAGAATGTGTCCAATTCCCCCGCTCGTTCCCTGGGATAACGAGCTCCTTTTGGCACCTCGGTATCAATCCATTTCCTAACTAGTGTTCATCTGCCTGCAGGTAATATTCTAGGGGCAATTGGAGCAGCGGTGAAGCTGCAGCTGGAACCGACCATCACAGACTGTTCAGACAGCCCCGCCGCCTGTAGGAGCCAGGAGCTGAGCCCCGTGGGACACATGGATTAATAGCTCATGGTCAGGAAACTGGTTTTGATAAACAATTGACTTAGATTCTCTATAACACATGATTAGAGGACAAAGCATTCTGCAGTAGACAGGGACAAATCCTGTTTAAAGTGTATTCCTGGGTATTTGATGAAATGGAGAACTTGTTTAACTGGCATTTGATACTTTCTAGGGTGGCTGGTTGGTTTGTTTTTCCACGTGAATTGCTTTTTCTCCAGACACTTCCATGTAGATGGGTTGATGAAGATCTCATGGAGCTTCACAGCTGTTCAAAGGTTGCTGTCTCTGGCTATTCAGCCTACTTCAGAAGGTTTCCAAGGCAAAAATGTCAAAATTAAGCTCAGCGTTAAGCTTTCATTTCTGGTAGTTTATATTTGGGTTCCTCAGGATTTTGCCAGGAGTCTCAGGACCCCACAGGGCTCAGTATGATCTTACTAAGCAAATACTCATCAGTGTTCTATTCCTGCACATCATCCACGATCCCAGGATTTGTCTTTGCTTGTGTCTTTCTACAGCTTTTGTCAATCTTTAGAGAAAGCACTTTGCTGAGCTTGGTTTAACAAAAACAAATATTACATAAAATTTGTTCTAGGTAGAAACGTGCCCCAATTCCAAATCCAAGAAGATTTAATCTAGATTTTCTCTTTTTCACCTTTTCCTTCAAGAAGGGAATTGTTGCTGGGAAGAGGCTGGATAAGCAAACCAGAGATTGCCCAGCTTGGAGGAGTCCGTGGCAGCCCCTGCTGAGGCTGCAGGGGTGGCTCCTAAGGGTGGCTGTGGGACCAGGTCAGGAGCTGCTGGGCTGTCCCGGGGTTCTGCAGTGAGGTGACCCCAGTGAGGCGCCTGCTCCCTCTGCTGAGCCTGTGGAGCCCTGCTGATGGCCATTCCAGAGGTGCCTGCTG